CTGTCTACGGCGGGGGGATAAAATTAAGGCGTGGGGAATAAAAAAGTCTATAATGAAGGTAAAAAAAAAAAAAAGCCCTATCGAAGCAAGTCTAGCCCCAGAGGGGTGTCTCCAGCACAGAAGTTCTCCCACTGCAGACACAGCTGTTTCTCACAGCCAATTGGCCTGGAGGTCAATTCCTCACAGTGATAACTACAACAATCAAGGCTTAATTACAACAAGACTGTGCACAAAGCCCACAAGGGGGTGCACTAAGAGTGTCTACCTCAGGTAATTGGGACCTTAGCACAGAAAGCCACTCTATCGACACAGCGAAGCATAAAAAATGCCGAGACAAAGAAACAGGACACAAACAACAGAAATGGAGGAAAGCAAACTGCTGGAATAGAGTTCAAAACCACACTTTTAAGGTCTTTAAAGAACTGTCTAGAAGCCGCTGATAAATTTAATAAGGCCCTCGAAAAAACTGGTGAGGCCGCCGATAAATGTAGTGAGATCTTCAAGAAGACTGGTGAGACCGTCGATAAATGTAGTGAGATCTTCAAGAAATCTAGTGAAACCCTCAATGTTATGATAAAGAACCAACTAGGAATTAAGCATACACTGACTGAAATAAAGAATATACAGACTCCCAACAGCAGACCAGAGGATCGCAAGAATCAAGTCAAAGATTTGAAATATTAAGAAGCAAAAAACACCCAACCGGAAAAGCAAAATGAAAAAAGAATCCAAAAATACGAAGATAGTGTAAGGAGCCTCTGGGACAGCTTCAAGCATACCAACATCCGAATTATAGGGGTGCCAGAAGATGAGAGAGAGCAAGATATTGAAAACCTGTTTGAAGAAATAATGACAGAAAACTTCCCCTACCTGGTGAAAGAAATAGACTTCCAAGTCCAGTAAGCACAGAGAACCCCAAACAAAAGGAATCCAAAGAGGACCACACCAAGACACATCATAATTAAAATGCCAAGAGCAAAAGACAAAGAAAAAATCCAAAAAGCAGCAAGAGAAAGAAACTCAGTTACCTACAAGGGAGTACCCATACGAATGTAAGCTGATCTCTCAACAGAAACTTTGCAGGCCAGAAGGGAGTGGCAAGAAATATTCAAAGTGATGAATACCAAGAACCTACAACCAAGACTACTTTATCCAGCAAAGCTATCATTCAGAAGTGAAGGTCAGATAAAGAGCTTCACAGATAAGTAAAAGCTAAAGGAGTTCATCACCACCAAACCAGTATTATATGAAATACTGTAAGGTATCCTTTAAGAAGAGGAAGAAGAAGAAAAAGGTAAAGATACAAATTATGAACAACAAATACACATCTATCAACAAGTGAATCTAAAAATCAAGTGAATAAATAATCTGATGAACAATATGAACTGGTGATTGTAATAGAATCAGGGACATAGAAAGGGAATGGACTGACTATTCTTGGGGGGAAAGGGGTGTGGGGGGTGAGGGAAGAGATTGGACAATAATCGTGCACCTATGGATTAGGACAGTGGGTGGGAGTGAGGGCGGAGCGTGGGGTGGGAACTGGGTGGAGGGGAGTTATGGTGGGAAAAAAGAGCAACCAGTGTAATAATCTGAACAATAAAGATTTAATTAAAAAAAAATTCACGGGTGTAATCAGAAGGGTTAAGAGGAGGAAAAGCAAAAAAAATAATCATGGATGGATTGTTTACTTTCTGGTATCTCTTAAGCAAATTCCTAAAGGGAAAGAGAACTTTTCTTTTAGAGAAACAAAAATTTCTAGCCCTTTAAATAATGCCACAGGGGTGGACATCCCCCCAAATGTCAGTTTATAGTTTGCTAAATGAATGGTTCTCCAATTTTAGTTTTCACCAGCCATTAATATTAAAAAATAAAAACAACACAGAACTGTAAAGGAACCAATAAAGGATTGCCAACATTAGATATGAACATGAAAAATAATGAAAAAAGGTACTATCTCCCAATATCATTATGTTGTAACCATTAACTAAAATCACAATTTTAATACCAAATAAAGTATGGAAAACACAATCATGGTATATGATTGTAAGTTATATAATTTTAAAAATACTCATTGCACTGTTTTTTCTCATTTCACTGCAGATCATTGAACTCTATAGGATAGCACTGGCCAGCAAGCCTTAAGTCTTTATTTACTTGGCCAAGGCATAGGACATGTGAATGAAGGCCTTTTGGAATAGACTAACCCATCCCCAGCCCAGTTTATCAAGCTCAAAACCCCACCATCTTCCCACTAATCTTCAGCAGATAATGGAAGCCATTTGGCAAAACTTGCTCAATCTAACCCCCATCAAAGATTCATCTTTATCCACACTTAGTTTTAGCTCCTTCCCTATATTTTCCATAGAAAAGGTTTCTTCCAATTGGTTCCTTAGCCTTCTGACTCCTCATGAATGCTAAATCCATCATCAACCCCCTTATTAAGTATAGGGGATTAAAATTCTTTGGCATTCTTCCCACTGAGAGGTGGGATCTATATACCCTTCCCTTACATCTGGCTCTGTGACTGCTTTGACCAATTGCATAGGTAGAAGGGGCACTGGTCCAGCTTCATCTTCATTTCTCTTGGAACAATCTCTCTAGGAGCCCTGGGCTGCTGAAGAAGCTTCAGTTGATGGCCCTGGTAATGTCTTGGGCTCTTCTGACTAGACCACCCACAAGCTAAATACTAACAAGTGACCCCAGTTAATGTCATGTAGGCAGAATTGCCTGGCTGAGCCTTGCTCAAATTGTTAACCCATAAAACTATGTATCAAACCAATAAATTCTGGTTTCTTTTTTTTTATGTAGCCTTAGATAACCAGAACATGACCTCTTTCTCTCTTCCAGCTATTTTCTTTTGGAATATAAATATATTAAAGTCTGGCCCAGACTTTTCCAAATTTCCCATTTTACCCTAAATCTCCTTTTATATGCCATTCACCTTTCATTTTATCTTTCATCTATGCTCAGACTTTCATTCTCCATCTTTTTGCAATGATACTTCTTCCCTAACCATGCTGTCAGTGTAGGTAGCTAGTTATTGATATAAGGGAGGTAGCTAGTTATTAATATAAGGAAGAAAGCAAAAGGGAACTAAATCTTAATAAACTGGGAAGCTGAAGCAGCTAGCAGGACAGCATTCCATTAGGTGTACTAGTTCACACACTCTAGGGAACTAGAAATGGACGGGAAAACCTTACCAGGGTGCTAAAAGCCCAGTACCAGAGAGAGGGGAGGAAATTCCTCTGCTGGGCACATGCGCAATAGAAACGAGATGATGTAATTGAACTTTTGGACACGCTCAGTGAGAATCAGGATGATGAAACAGAGGGACAGGGACTAGCCTGGGAAAAACTAGAAAGGTAATCCAGTTGGATAAAAGGCATGAAACCCCAATAGAATTTGCTGGGATGAGGCCTGGGAAAAATTAAAAATTGGAGTAGGATAGTTTGAGTGGTTCTTTGTTCTTTACCTGAACCAAGAAGATATATGGAGGATTAACAGGAGGCTTGTGCCAGTGCTTTAGTGCCTGCCTACCCTCCACTTCACTGAGGGTGTATGAATTCCCCTTAATTCACAAAATCTTGCCATCAGGTTTACAGTTCTCCACCCATGTGCCTTTGAAATTCTTTTCTCAGGACAAATAGTGAATTAACACTTCTGACCTTATTTGAACTCTGTGTCATGTGATATTCCTGAACACTCAATACTTTAGGAAACTCCTCCTCTGGTCTCAATACCTCTCCCTCTTGCTTTTCTTCTTATCTTCCTAGTAACTCTTCTTACCTTGATCTCTTCTTGGCTGCCTATGCCTTAAATATTGAGCTTTTCCCCAAGGTTCTCTTCTCTTTGTGTCTCCTTCCTACATGTTTTTCAAAGTCATATCCATCCTACATTCACACTTCAAATAGATGCTGTATGTATCCTGAGAATTTAAGTCTATATTTCTAGCCTAGACCTTTCTCTAGAAGCTAAGGGCCAATTCCTTACTTGATAGCTACCTCCATTTAAACCCAGAGATTTAAATGCAAAAGCAAAAAATCACCTCCAACAGTCAGACTGCCATTCCACTGTGCTTCTTAGTCAGTCAATGGTTCCACCATCTACTTGAAAGTTACACTTGACTCCTCCTTCAACCATGTTCATATTGATTCTACCAACTTAATGTATCTAAAGTTGGCTTATTCCTCACTATACCATTTCTAACACCATAGTCAGGATTATACCATTTCTTATTACAGACTCTTCTGGTCTCCAGACTTAATTCACTCTCAAACATCCTGGTAAAATATTCATCCTATGGTACAAATCTTATCATATACCCCACTCCTTTGCTAAAATCCTTTAGTGCCTCCCCAGTAGCTCAGGTTAACTTCAAATTCCTTAACATCTCACACCCAATCCTTACCTACACCTCTAATCTCTTGGCTCTTTCCACATGTGTCATTATAGTTAACTATATGAAAATACTTCCAGTTTCATAAATTCACTATATAGTCTCATACTACCAGCCTCTGCACCTGATACTCTCCCACATAAAAGTCCTCCCTTATTTCTAAACCAAATTAATAGTAACTTTTGGTTGAAAGCTCAATTTAGCTCTCATCTTCTCAAGAAAACTCTTCTTGCCCCCTTATTCTGTCATACGTAACTTTCCTATGTGTTTCCTATGTGTTCCTCTCTATGATAGCATGTGTTAAAACATAGAGTTCTATTTAATAGCTGCGTATATAGAAGTCTGTCTGAACACTAGACTATGATCTCCTTGAAGGCAAGGATTTATTTTTTTATCTGATTTCTCCAGTCATATTATGGCACACAGTAGATATTCATAACTACTTATTGAATAATCAACTGAATGAATGAGTGGTATGTATTTAATTTTCAGATTTGCTAGTTTCACATAGACTTTTAACAATATTACAAAAAATTATAAAATTCATGAAAGTATTTCATCCTAAAGGGAATAATGCTAAAAGGGCTATATCAAAATTCACCTTCTCAGCTTTTCCTTGCTTGAATGAAGAACAGAAATCTTTTTGCTTGTTTCAAAATCAGAAAATGGCGCCTTTAATTCAAGCCCAATGTCCTTTCTTAGAGACTCAGAGCTAGAAACAAGAGAAAATCATACTATATATTTAAGAGGAAAATTGTTCAGGCAATATTAAATAATAAGCACCAATACACTAATCAAAGGGTGTTTATCTAAATATCTTGTTTCATACAAAATTGCAGTAAATATCAAAGCATGTCACCTTACATATTTGGTGCAGAATATTTTATTTCAAAAGAATTTATTATCAAGATCATAAATTCAATGATTGATCAATATTCTAAAATACACAGATAAAGAATAACAGATACAAGCAGGATTAAAATAATCTGACCTCACTGCTTACAACTATCCCAAATTATAAAATTGTATCTAAAGGTGCATTACAATGCTTCTCTGTCTGCATTTATCAGACCATCAGACCTCAGAGGGAAGGTAGGAGAGGGTGGGTGTAAGGGGGAGAGAGCAACCAAAGGACTTGTATGCATGCATATAAGCCTAATCAATGGACACAGATTCCAGGGGGGTGAGAGCATGAGTGGGGAGGGGGTGTTCTGGGGGAGCAATGGGGGGATAAGGACACATATATAATACCTTAATCAATAAAGAAAAATGGATTAGAGGGCCAAGATATACTATTCCAACTTGATCAGCAAGGGCTGGTTCCAACTGCCCAGGTAGAGTGGCTCAGTTGGTTGAGCATTGTCCTGTGCATTGAAAGGTTGCCAGTTCAATTCCTGGCCAGGGCACATACCTGGGTTGCGGGTTTGATCCCCGGTCAGGGCATGTACGGAAGGCAAGAGATCAATGTTTCTCTCTCACCTCTCTCTCTCTCTCTGCCCCCCTCTTTCTTCTCTCTAAGCATGTCCTCAGATGAGGAAAAAATAATATAAAAATAAAAATTTGTCAACTAATGGACATTTTCTAGCTCTACCATTTTTCTAGAACTTCTTCAAGCATTTTAATTAACTGATTTGATTGATTTTTATGAAATTTTCCTAAGAAACTTACAAACTAATATTAGCTCCTTTATCCCAAGAGATATAACTTGATTTGAAAATTTACTTGTATTTTTAGTAGGATTCTTAGGAAGAACAAAGATTCAAGATGAGTGAGGCTCAAAAAGCAGTTGCAAATAATGTAAGAAAATCACAAAGCCTTCCAAAACCTTTCCCAACCTCATATCCCAAATAAGGTTTAATACAATAAATTTCTTTGAGGTTAAAATGTTAAATAAGATCAAGAAAGCTGTTATCTCTGCATTACTTAAGTGATGGCATCTTTGGCTTCACCACATTTATTGGTTGCCAAGTCTCTTCCTTGTTCAAAATAGTAAATGGCCACATTTCTACAAATAGTGGATTGTCATGTTCTACAAATTCTGGAAGTGATGACTCAAAACTTCCATCATCATCACCCATGTCCTCAGAAAGTATGTCCATTGTTTGTAGCCCTATGCTATAAGGCTACATCAAAATTCACTTCTCAGCTTTTCCTAGTTTGAATGAACCTCCTGGAGAATCAACTTAAATTGAAAGGAAAAAATTCACAAAAACTGAATTTTTATAAGCATAATACAATGCTAGCATTAGAAGCACCAGTTAAACTGCCTATAAACTGCAGATTTGAATACCAGTTCTAATATCTCTCAGATGGAGGAACAGAAGCAGAGAGAGAAAACTTTTTAAGTGTTCTTTTCAATAATTGGGCATATAGGTTAATTAATTCAAAAAAGACATCAGGGAGATTAGTAAGTGGGTAACAGCTGAGGCTGCTCTTCTTTGTTTAATTATTGGGGTTTATGTAAAATTTTTGTTTGAAGATAAGCTTCTACTGTTTTAAAAAAGTTTGAACACCACTACTGCTATTTAGTTTTGATTAGTGATCATCCAGACTCTACTTTAACACATCCAATCATGGGGAACTTACTACCTTATAATTCATCTGGCTCCCCTATAGTCAACTATGATTGTTATGAAATAGTTCCTTATATTTAGCTGAATACTCTGTAATGTGTACCTATAGTCCCAGCTCAGGATTCTGAAATATAGAAAAAATTGCATCCCTACTCCATAAACTAGCCTCTTCTATCTTTTGCATCATCCCCAGCACAGTAAGTTCTCGATAAATTTTAAATAAAATGTATACAGTAAAAACTGCTACTTTGAAAAAGTGAAAAAAAAAAAAACTAACCAAGAAAATAGATCAGTAGAAAAACATCCCAGCTGTTCACTACAGGACTTCTGCCAGGGAAATCCAGATTGTTCAGGTTTCATAGAACTTTCATTCTTAACTGGAAGTTTTAAAAGGGGGACCACTTTAATTCTAAAATCACACATACACATCATAATCAACAGCAGTTGTCACTTTTTACTCAATAGATTTTACAAAGCAGTATTTTTAAAAACAGAAAGCAATTTATCAACTTCAATGATGAATCATGAATCCACTCAGGTTAGAAAGCAAAATCAAAGCACTACATACAGTTTACCTCAGGACATTCTCTTACAACCAGATTCTAGAAATTTAGAAATACATTTGTTTGAAACACATTCAACTGAGTTTACTTACTACGTTTTTATTTATAGATGAATGGCAGAGATAGAAAATATGTATGAGTCTTCAGTAAGCAGCTATGTTGTCAAAATATGGCATCTGATATTTTTATTGTGTGTGTTTTTTATGTTTTTTGTTTTGTTTTGTTTTGCTTTGTTTTTGCAACTGCTCATTCTCAGAGCAAAGATGAGAAAACTGGAAGCAGATGTAGTTAAGACCAATAGAAAGGGTGCTAGACAGGTGGTGATGAGCAGCTGCTCTATTTCTACTGAGAATCATATAAGAATAGGCTGCAGAAAGATCTTCATTCACTACGATAAGCCATTCCAGGAAGAACTCTGAAACTGTAGGGGCTGGGAGCCACTGGAATGTTACAAAACAGACTCACTAATCTTCCCTGAATATTAATAAAGAACATTTTAAAAGAAGGGTGTATTGAATCTTATATCATCTGAAGTATGTGCTTATACAGGATAATCTGAGTCTGTCAGACTCATTTTAAGAAAAATATTACCTTTATTTTAAAAGATTTCCCAGCTAGTATCCCAGGCCTAAAAAAACCATAAATAGTCATTGACCAGCAATAATTCCAGTAGAATTTAATTTCAGAAATTGGAAGATATCCTTTTACAAGCCAAATTAAAGCTAATATAATTTCTAAAATGTTTAGATGTTGGTGATATCTAATAAAAGAGAAACATGCAAATCAAATTGACCAGACCTCTGCTACACTCACAAGCCATGCCCACAAGCCAAGCCCACAAGCCAATCAGGAGCAAGTATGCAAATAAACCCAACCAAGATGGCGGCAGCCACGGAGCTGGAGCAAATAGGCTTGGGTTGCCTCTGGTGATGGAGGAAGCCAAGCTTCCCGCCTGCCCTGGCCAACTATGGACTCCACTCAAGGCTACAAAGTTTCAATTATAGAAGATAAATCCTAGATACCTGCTTCCAGCTGCTGTGGCCTCCGCTCAAGGAGGGTCTGAAAGTCTGGGTTGCCTGGGGCCATGGCAAGCCTGCAAACAGCCATCAGCCCCTCACCCAGGCTGGCCAGGCACCCCAGTGGGGACCCTTACCCTGATGGGGGTGTAACCAGCTTGAAAACAGCCCTCAGCCCCTCACCCAAGCTGGCCACACCCTCATGGGGTGAGGGTCTCTGCTGGGGGGCTTGGCCAGCCTGCAAACAGCCCTCAGCCCCTCATCCAGGCTGGACAGGCACCCCAGTGAGGACCCCCACCCTGAAGGGGGTGTGGCCAGCTTGAAAACAGCCTTCAGCCCCTCACCCAGGCTGGCCACGCCCCCCCAGCAGGGACCCTCACCCCATGGGAGCATGGTCAGCCTGTAAACCACCACAGGCCCCTCGCCCAGGCCGCCCCATGCCCCAAGGGAACCCACACCCTGATCCGGGACACACTTCAGGGCATACCAACCGTACCCCACCCGTGCACCAGGCCTCTATCTATACTAATAAAAGGGTAATATGCTAATTAGACTGGGAGATCTTCCCGACGTTCTTCTGGACAAAGCCATGGTGGCAGGGCCAAGGTAGAGGCAGTTAGAGGCGAAGAGGGGAGGGTAATTGTGGGTGATCAGGCTGATGGGGGCAGGACCATTGAGGGTAAGCATACCAGCAGGGGGGCCAGTTGAGGGCAAGCAGGCCATCAGTGGGGGTCAGTTGGAGGTGATCAGGACAGCGGGGGGCGGGGGGAGTTTGGAGTGAGCAGGCCAGCAGGGGGGCATTTGGGGGCAAGCAGGCCAGCGATGGGTGGCAGTTGGGGGGTGAGCAGGCTGGCATGCAGAGTGGTTAGGGGCAATCAGGCAGGCAGGCAGGTGAGCGGTTAGGAGCCAGCAGTCCTGGATTGCGAGAGGGATGTCCAACTGCCGGTTTAGGCCCGATCCCTGTAAACCGGCAATAGGACATCCTTCAAGGGGTCCCAGACTGGAGAGGGTGCAGGCCGGGCTGAGGAACACCCCCTCCCCCATGCACTGGGCCACTGATACTATATAATACAATAGAAGTGAAGGGTTTAGAAATGTTAGATCAAATTAAAGCACTGATATTATCTATTTCTAAAACAGAAATAATAACCACTCTATTAACTTACAGAAGTAAAATAATTTAAATGCAAGTGTTTTTTGCAAAGCACAAAGTATGATATGATTCAAGGTAGTGGCCCTGGCTTTTAGACAATCTTATAAGAACACGGCATGATTAATTTAATTTTAATGACTAAGAAATGATGTAGCAGCTAGATTACCAAAACCAAAATAACAATCTCACTATTAATAAATAACACCTGTGCCTACCACAATGCTATATTGGTCCTGTATAATACATTTTAATCCCAGGAAGAGGCAATTCTTTTCTCCATAGGTATAGAACACGTTTCTATTTATTTATTTACACTTGTTTTCTTCAGACTATGATTGGCAAGGATTACATATTCTTTACAGTACACAGCATACAGTCAATTCTTAGCAAATAAAAGGCACAAGGGATAAACCAACTTTAAAAAATATGAATATAATTTTGTGGTATTTTAAATAGACATTTTAAAACCTTTGCAAATTTGTTTTTCACTCACCAGTATGTTTTGAGAAATATGTTTTCCAGTATTTTACCACAATGCTAAGTTTCTCCATAGTCAGTGGTTCAATTAAAGTAATATCAGCTCCGTACCCTGAAAGGCAACCTAAGAATATTTGTATTAAATACTGATCTATGATTTCTATTTGGAGAAAAAACAAATAATAGACCTACTAGGCACATACCTTTAAAATTTTCAGAGATTATAAAAACAAACAGCAAGTGTATATTTTTCTTCCTGCCAAATCTGAGGGGGAAAAATATCAAAGTGATGCAAAATCATCATTCAAAAACTTGGGATTCAATAATTTAGCCTCTTAGTAATTGAACTAGAATAATTTTCTTTATTGCTTTAAAATTTAAAGTGGTGGCATTAATATTGAAATTTAGTAAAAGTAGCATCTCAAATCAGTGAGGGAAAGGTAGAACACTTTAACAACTTATAAGGAAAGGGAATGTATTTTTATTTCATATAATTGCATACAAAGAAGTCTGAAGTGTGCTGCTGGCTAGGGTGTATAGTATAAGTGCAGGTTACTTGATAAATACAAGGGAAAGAGATACTCTGCTAAAAATAATATTTACTCCATTTAATGCTTTATTTATGAGAGATGCTTAAGGATCTCTAGTTTAATGGGCAAGGAAATCCAAATTCTGAGTCTTTAGTCAAACCCATGGCTTCTCTGAATAGGAATTCATTCTGTTAATACAAATAGTCTTTTTCTAATTCACATCCATGGCAACCACTGATGCTTGTTTCTTTACAACTGTGGAAGGGAAAAGTGAATGACTTTAAAGAAATAAGCCTTTATTTTTAGAATAATTTTATACTTAGAGAAAAAATATGAAAATAATAATTGAGTTCCCACAGATCCAAACCCAATTTCCTGTATTGCTAACATTTTATGTTAGTATTCATATTTCTCACAATTAATGAGCCAATATTGATACATTATTATTAATTTAAGTTCATATTTTGTTCAAATTTCCTTAGTTTTTACTTATCTTCCTAGCCCAGGATCCCATGTATTGAGTTATCATGTCTTCTTAGTTTCCTCCAAATTGGGACACTTTTGTGATTTTTTTTTTTTATGATCTTGACAGTTTCGAGAATATTGCTCGGGTATGTGTAGAATGTAAGATAGGCCACTTTTTTCTTGCTTTTAAAAAATGAGACTAAATATTATCCAGATTCTTGGTCTAACCACCAGTTTACAAGAAATTTAAGTAAAGAGGAATATTTTAAAGAATAAAGATGAAGTGAGCAAAATCCCAATTGTAAGAAATTCTATTTTAAGAATGACCCTTTTGCCGTAACTGGTTTGGCTCAGTGGATAGAGAGTCGGCCTGCAGACTGAAAGGTCCCAGGTTCGATTCCGGTCAAGGGCATGTACCTTGGTTGCGGGCACATCCCCAGCAGGGAGTGTGCAGGAGGCAGCTGATCGATGTTTCTCTCTCATCGATGTTTCTAACTCTCTATCCCTCTCCCTTCCTCTCTGTAAAAAATCAATAAAATACATATAAAAAAAGAATGACTCTTTTAAAAACATATAAAGAACAAGACCAAAAATAACAGAGGAAAGGAAAAAGTAAATCCTGATCCGTATAAACTTACAGTTTAAAAAAATAAATCATAAGATAAATAAGAGAAATTTCAACATTGTATATTTGACAATATTAAAAAATTGTTATTAATTTTTAGGTATGATATTGGTATTGTAAATATTTTAAAAGACTTCTTATCTTAGGTACTTATTAAACTATCTATGTTTGAAAGGAAATGATGTCTTAAATTTGCTTTAAAATAATTCACTAGTCAGCAGGAGAGGAAGGGTGGGAAAGGAGGTATGGGAAAGGGAAGAGATGAAACAAGATTGGCCATATGTCTGTAACTATTTTTTTAAAAGCTATGTATTTTTTTAAATATATTTTATTGATTTTTTACAGAGAGGAAGGGAGAAGGATAGAGAGATAGAAACATCAATGAGAGAGAAACATTGATCAGCTGCCTCTTGCACACACCCCAGTGGGGATGTGCCCACAACCAAGGTACATGCCCTTGATTGGAATCGAACCTAGGACCTTTCAGTCCGCAGGCCGACGCTCTATCCACTGAGCCAAACCAGTCAGGGCTGTCTGTAACTATTAAAGCTACATTATGAGAACATGGAAGTTCATTATATTATTCTTTCCACTTTTATATGATTGAAAGTTTCCAAAATAAGACTTAAGTTGTGGCATTATTCTGCATGGGAGAACATATTTGCCAATGTTATAGCTGATAAGGGCCTAATCTCCACAATTTATAGGGAACTCACACATCTTAACAAAAAGAAGATAAACAATCCAATAAAAAAATAGGCAAAGGACTTAAATAGACACTTTTCGAAAGGGGACATACAGAAAGCCAAGAGACATATGAAAACACTCTCAAAGTCACTAATCATCCAAGAGATGCAAATCAAAATGACAATGAGGTACCATCTCACACCTGTCAGAATGGCTATCATCAACAAATCGACAAATGTCAAGTGTTGGCAAGGATGTGGAGAAAAAGGAACCCCCGTGCACTGCTGGAGGGAATGCAGACTGGTACAACCACTGGTATGGAGTTTCCTCAAAAAATTAAAAACGGAACTTCCATTTGACCCAGTAATCCCACTTCTGGGAATATATCCCAAGAAATCAGAAATACCAATTAGAAAGGACATATGCACCCCTATGTTTATAGCAGCACAATTTACAATAGCTAAGATTTGGAAACAGCCTAAGTGCACATCAGAAGATGAGTGGATTAGAAAACACTGGTACATCTACACAATGGAATAGTATGCTGCTGTAAAAAGAAAGAACTCTTACCATTCGCAACAAACAGCATGGATGGACATGGAGAGCATTATGCTAAGTGAAATAAGCCAGTCAGAGAAAGATAAATATCACATGCTCTCACTCATTTGTGGAATATAATGAACAGCATAAACTTATGAACAATAATAACCCAGAGACAGAGAAGCAATGAACAGACCATCAAGCTTCAGAGGGACGACAGGGGCTGGGGTGGGGATAAGAGATCAACCAAAGCAGTGGTCGGCAAACTGCGGCTCGTGAGTCACATGCGGCTCTTTGGCCCCTTGAGTGTGGCTCTTCCTAAGCCTTAGGAGTACCCTAATTAAGTTAATAACAATGTACCTACCTATATAGTTTAAGTTTAAAAAATTTAGCTCTCAAAAGAAATTTCAATCGTCGTACTGTTGATATTTGGCTCTGTTGACTAATGAGGTTGCTGACCACTGAACCAAAGGACTTGTATACATGCATATAAGCATAACCAATGGACACAGATACTAGGGGGGTGAGGGCATGTGCCAGGGGTTGGGGGTTGTCAGGGAGAGGTCAATGGGGGGAAATAGAGACATATGTAATACTATATGTAATACTTTAAACAGTAAAGAATTTAAAAAAAAATAAGCTAAGCCACACAAAAAATGGAGACATTATTATTACGTACACTTTGGTGGTCAATAAACTGGAATTTATGATAATTTGATAGATCCTGAGCTCTGACATTAACTAAGATAAATAATTTTTGGAGAGGAGGAAGATGGCCATTGGCAGGAAGGTAGGGAGGGAGAGAGTGTGAGAGCACGAGGAAGTGATAAAGGAGTGTGTGGACATGTGTGGGGTGTGTGTGTATGAGCTAGGGACAGTTAGATTCTGCAGGTCTCCTAAGGGGTTGCTAAACCGGGCAGTCTTAGACAGTGGAGCCCCTCTCCCTGTGCGGACACTCCTGGGTGGCCAGCGTGGGCACAGAGACCACGCCATCTTGAGAAACAGAGCTGCTTGAGACTAGGATCCTGGCCTCAGCAACACTCAGTCTGATCTCAGACACAAACCAGGACCCTGCAGCCACTGGGGACAGAGACCTGCGACCATAGGTGCAGACCCACGGACACCAAGAATCCAGACATCCCGTCGGCATATTTCTGTGAGTAACAGAGCCCATCTCCCTCCCCGCAGGCTCTCGGGCAGCGCCATAGTAACTGATAGACCCGCCCCTCGCCCGGGCCTCAGTGCTGCTACAGGAATCTTAGCCTGGAATGCGTGAACACTGGGAACTTGCTCCCCGCAGCACGGGCTCCGGGACCCCAATTATCCTGGCGGGAGGCAGCACTAAGCACCAGTGACTTGACTCTGTTTCTTATCACCTGTGCCTGGGATCCCTGATTCCCAGTGCATTCACACTAAGAGCCAGTGACTCCAATTCTTGCTGCATGTGCATACAGGGACCCTGATTCTCAATGCGAGGCCACGCGAATCAACAGAAACTCTGATACTGGATTCTTGGGGACTCCTGGCACACACTAGGGGGCTCTAATTTTCAACACACTCCAGGGGGGTCTCTGTTTCAGCATGGTGCAGGCAGGGTCCCTAATTCTAAGTGCGTGCATGAGGCCACACTGAGCGCAGGTAAGGCTGACTCTGAGCAAGCCTGGTTCCCACCGACCCACAACAGCCACACATCTTAGTGTCAGAGCTCTTCAGTGACACTAGGGTGGTGTGAAGCTCCTACTACACACAGCTCAGGCCCACGCATTTAAACGTTTGAACCTGCTGGAGATACTCAGAATGGGGAGATGACACAATACCCAGAGGAAAGAAAATGAGGAGTCCCCAAGAAAGGAAATTAGTGAAATTGAAGCATGCAACATGACAGAAAAAGAATTCAGAGTAATGGTTGTACAATTCATTCACCGGATGGATAAGAAAATCAACAACCTATGCAAGAATCAGGAAGAGCCCTGACCAGCTTGGCTCAGTGGATAGAGCGTCCGCCTGCAGACTGAAAGGTCCCAGGTTCGATTCTGGTCAAGGGCATGTACCTTGGTTGCGGGGAACATCCCCAGTAGGGGGCATGCAGGAGGCAGCTGATCAATGTTTCTCTCTCATCGATGTTTCTATCTCTCTATCCCTCTCCCTCCCTCTCTGTAAAAAATCAATAAAATATAATTTAAAAAAAGAATCAGGAAGAAATGAAAAGTGATATAGCTACAATCAAAAACACCATGGAAGGTTTCTACATTAGACTAAAAGAAGCAGAGGACCGAATTAGTGATTTAGAAGGTAAGGTAGAGAAACAAGCTCTATCTGAACAGCAACTGGAGAGAAAAATTAAAAAGCAGGAGAAGAGCCTAAGGGAGCAATGGGACAACATGAAACAAAGTAACATACACATAATAGGGCTGCCAG